ATAAGGTTCATACTGTATCACACGGTAATGTTCATTACCATAAGGTTATACATAAGGTTAGGTTCATCATCACACGGTCGTCTTAATGGTTCATTACCATAAGGTTATACTGTATCACACGGTCGTCTTAATGGTTCATTACCACACGGTAAGGTTATACTGTATCACACGGTCGTCTTAATGGTTCATTACCATAAGGTTATACTGGATCACACGGTCGTCTTAATGGTTCATTACCATAAGATACTGTATCACTCGTCTTAATGGTTCATTGCCAAAAGGTTATACTGTCTTATGGTTCATTGCACGGGTCGTCTTAATGGTTCATTACCATAAGGTTATACTGTATCACACGGTCGTCTTAATGGTTCATTACCATAAGGTTATACTGTATCACACGGTCGTCTTAATGGTTCATTACCATAAGGTTATACTGTATCACACGGTCGTTTTAATGGTTCATTACCATAAGGTTATACTGTATCACACGGTCGTTTTAATGGTTCATTACCATAAGGTTATACTGTATCACACGGTCGTCTTAATGGTTCATTACCATAAGGTTATACTGTATCACACGGTCGTCTTAATGGTTCATTACCATAAGGTTATACTGTATCACACGGTCGTCTTAATGGTTCATTACCATAAGGTTATACTGAACCACACGGTCGTCTTAATGGTTCATTACCATAAGGTTATACTGAACCACACGGTCGTCTTAATGGTTCATTACCATAAGGTTATACTGTATCACACGGTCGTCTTAATTGTTCATTGCCATAAGGTTATACTGTATCACACGGTCGTCTTAATGGTTCATTGCCATAAGGTTATACTGTATCACACGGTCGTCTTAATGGTTCATTACCATAAGGTTATACTGTATCACACGGTCGTCTTAATGGTTCATTACCATAAGGTTATACTGTATCACACGGTCGTCTTAATGGTTCATTACCATAAGGTTATACTGGACCACACGGTCGTCTTAATGGTTCATTACCATAAGGTTATACTGTATCACACGGTCGTCTTAATGGTTCATTACCATAAGGTTATACTGTATCACACGGTCGTCTTAATGGTTCATTACCATAAGGTTATACTGTATCACACGGTCGTCTTAATGGTTCATTACCATAAGGTTATACTGTATCACACGGTCGTCTTAATGGTTCATACTGTTATACTGTATCACACGGTCGTCTTAATGGTTCATTACCATAAGGTTATACTGTATCACACGGTCGTCTTAATGGTTCATTACCATAAGGTTATACTGTATCACACGGTCGTCTTAATGGTTCATTACCATAAGATTATACTGTATCACACGGTCGTCTTAATGGTTCATTACCATAAGGTTATACTGTATCACACGGTCGTCTTAATGGTTCATTACCATAAGGTTATACTGTATCACACGGTCGTCTTAATTGTTCATTGCCATAAGATTATACTGTATCACACGGTCGTCTTAATGGTTCATTACCATAAGGTTATACTGTATCACACGGTCGTCTTAATGGTTCATTACCATAAGGTTATACTGTATCACACGGTCGTCTTAATGGTTCATTGCCATAAGGTTATACTGTATCACACGGTCGTCTTAATGGTTCATTACCATAAGATTATACTGTATCACACGGTCGTCTTAATTGTTCATTACCATAAGATTATACTGTATCACACGGTCGTCTTAATGGTTCATTACCATAAGGTTATACTGTATCACACGGTCGTCTTAATTGTTCATTACCATAAGGTTATACTGTATCACACGGTCGTCTTAATGGTTCATTACCATAAGGTTATACTGTATCACACGGTCGTCTTAATGGTTCATTGCCAAAAGGTTATACTGAACCACACGGTCGTCTTAATGGTTCATTACCATAAGGTTATACTGTATCACACGGTCGTCTTAATTGTTCATTGCCATAAGATTATACTGTATCACACGGTCGTCTTAATGGTTCATTACCATAAGGTTATACTGGACCACACGGTCGTCTTAATGTTTCATTGGGAAAAGAAACTGAACCAATGGGTCATACAATGCCACTAGCAGACAACGAGCTGTATGTAACCCAACAGGCATGAGAAAACATCAAGCTCGTGAGGATACGGATAACGCATTACCAAAGGTATAAAGTATCATAATGGCACAAATCCTTTATGTCTATCGAGCCGAAAAAGATCTCCGATTTCGGAGGGAACCTCACATCAGCCAAAAAATAATCAGGGTGTTCCAAAACTACGGTTGAAAGCCCTCATTAGTACAGGTAAATGACGCTTCCTGCATCTATTAAACGTATAACAAATCTGAATGGGTTTTTTTCAGAATACATCAATTCCTAATCAAGGAATGACCAACAATACCGGGGAAAACAAACGTCAGGCATGCATCGAGTATATTTTCGATTTGATCTTCTTATTGAATACTGCAAATGTCCATCGTTTCGTGAAATGTTTTTTTGTATTGCTTTCCAATTTATTTTGTCGTCACTCTTTTGTTTCATTCAGCGGAAAAGAAAGAAGACGCCATGAAAATAAGAATTATTTGATATTATATATTACAACTGGCTTCGGTAGTTTTATATGTTATATATTGTTGCTGACATTGTTCTTATTTGGGAACGTGACATTACGCAAATTGGATTGACAAACATTTAGATGGCGGATGTCGTCGTGAAGTTTAAGGTGTTTACTCTTCATGGAACACCTGGTCTTTTCAATAATCTCCGTGTAAATCTTCTTTTTTTTTTGTCCTAGTTTCATCAAATTCGTGTTTGAGAATTGAGATTCTGTTGATATGTTGCAGTTTTATTTGTTGTTTTTATTTGGTTAGTAAGACAATATTATATATTTGCTACTGCACGTTGACGGTGGTAAAGGGAATCCACCGAATGTATCCCAGAGTGTGATGTCTTAACGCTTAAATGTTATTTATTCCGATCCATTGCCCAGAGAGGCGATACAGAATTGCATACAAACTATCAGAAGCGTCAGTAGCCTAACCCTTATTTTTATTTCTATTTTTATTTTCGCCTCTGGCAGTAAAATAAGGGGGAAACTCCCAAGAGCTGTCATACATATTAAATTCTCGTAACGTTGGGAATAAAATAGTGCACTTTAACGTTAAAAACTTGTGTTTTGAAAGTGATTTATAGTGCGTCTTTGTGTTTTGAATATTTGCAATAAGGGTGCTGTGAAAATGCGGATTTTTTTCGTTTCGTTTCCTCACTGCATAGTAGTTCTCCGGTTGCCTCCAAAGATTCAACAATTTAGGTCCCTAGTATCACTGCTGAAACGACTGAATATTGCTTCAGTATTTGACTTTTTTGCATACAATGCTAGATTAATATTGAAAGATACTAGTTGGCATGACTTTTGTACAATATTTCACAAGCTTTTCAGTCCAAGTCAAGATCAGTACGCGCGCGCAGCCTTTCCGGTTGTCATAGACAGATAGTGCATACAGAGACACTCTATCGCAATTGTACATAGCATTAGAAAGATACTGTGGTATTTTCTTACACTATGTCTTCTGCTCAGGAATTGTCCAGATAGTAATTCTACATGAAACATTCACTGCGTCACCATTTCTTTCTTGGCTACACTTACTTTTTTCGGGAATAGCATTGCACGTAATACACCTATCGTAAGCAAGAGAATCGGTGTGAATGATGGAATGTTCTGTGACTGTGTCCAGGTTATGGCACCCGGATGTGTCTGTTATGGTCTTGTTCATGAAAGATCGGCCGCCTTACATTACATTTCTACCTAAGACGATGCTATCCCAACGATTAGAAATGCACGTGAAAGTGAATCGTAGAAACAAAATAGTCTACCTTCTCAAAATGTGTCAGTTTTTTTTTAGATAAATAAGTTTTTATTAAAAACTCGTTTTCGATCTTGAGCTTTGCATGTAAAACTGACGTTAACTTGAATTGGGAGCATGCGTATTTCAATAAGTAAACATAATGTATTTACAATGCGAACTTAGGAACGTACAAATTGTATGTAACGCACGTGCACCTTCAAGATTCACTTAAGTTCATGTTTATCTCCACTTAAGATAGCAAGGAGTTGATGAGAGATGCTTAACCGAGTCGGTTTAGACATTCTATTGACAGAATATTTATTGCAGAATAACATTAAGGGGCACAAACCCGTGGTGGAATTACGACAGAAAGACTTATCGCAAGGTTACCTTTTTTAAATTTAAGAGAGGTGATGAATGTAATTTCATTGTATGTATTTACATATCGTGGATTTACTTGAAGTGCATTATTCATCACCGACGGGATTCCCACTCAGATTTGGAATTCCCCTCTTAATATCAATCCAATATTTATACAATATCGCTTACTAGCATCTTACCGATCCAACTGTATGATGTGATAATAACGGTATTTCCTACATTTATAAGGCTTGGCCTACAGGTCTATGATACTTATGTCACATCGCGTTTGCTGTCATGCCAGGCGTCATATGGATTTACACAGAAAATTAATTACGTACTGAATCCTAAATAAACATAGTAAGTACTGGTGTCCTTTCGAGAAAACAGAAATTGAAAGTCCTTGCATACGATGTCCCGCTTTGTGTTCCGCTATAAAAGCTCAATGCAAAGTTATAGAAAACGTTTTTATCATTTTTTTATTTGATATATCATAAGATTCTCTTCCGTGAGAATTCCAAGGAAAAGTAGTACCCCGAAAATGTCTCGTTGTCGTGAAAATACCATATCCCATACTTTCGGGAATATTCCGGAAACTTATATTAGATTTTTGTTTTGTGATTGCTTGGTCGAGTCAAGTTAAGTTTTTATATTGTTGGCATACTCATATCACCGCGTTTGTTGTGTTTGTGATAGAACATTTGAATTGACAAATTATGCAGATAATATCGCAAAAAATTAACTCTAGGGATATACAATAGATTGACAACAACTCCAATCAGTAATTTGTTTTACTTCTTCATTTCAGATACTACGCTATTGTCCATCCTCTGTCTGCCATGAAAGTCAACAGTAAGTCTAGGACAAAGAAGATAATAGCGGTCACGTGGGTCATTCCAATTGTCATCTGCACGCCTTACCTATATTGTGGAAGTTTTGCATTTGAATCTCGCAGCCATTACGGTTCTGTGTCCCGCCAAATCTGTGCTGATCGATTCGATGAGATAGATGGCGGTACTGGTAACTTCCGGCGGGTGTTCTTCCTCGTTCTGGCTGCGTTTATGTACTTTCTCCCAATGATAATCATCATCACAACATGTTCGAGGATTGCCCGGTCCCTTCTTCAACCTATCATTATCGAAAGCTCCCAGTCTGGTACTAGGAATTGTAAACGGCGAGATGAGGTCAACAAGCGCAAGGTATTTTTGTTGTTGCTGTGTTGCCCCTGACCATTCATACCTATGTCCTGAATTTTAAAACGGATACTTTATAGTTTCTGGTACAAATATGTACTTTTAAATCCAATTCTAGCACTGCGTGTCACCTCATACAAAATTAGAAATCACCTTTTATCCTGGAATGCGTGATAATTATCACCATTTGAAATGACTTCGAACGGGTTGTGTAGGCGCTACTGTTAATGTACCCATTTTCAAACTAACACGCTGACGATGACGATTCCAACACAGAACTTCCGGAATACATACACGTGAATTACGTACCTATATGCACGTTATTCCCAGAACCATGAAACCCTCTCTTTTCGAACGAATTCAAAGTAGATTGCACGATAAAACGCCACAGAAATAACAATAAACCATGTTTTTCACACCATTGTGTTATTTATAGTTAAATCCTTAAAATGGAATTGCTTGTTAACATGCACAAGTTAGATACAGACTTCAAAGTAAGTTTAATGTTCGAAACTTCTACTACTCTCTTTCAGTCTATTTAACGAGTTTTAGTCAGCAAATATATTTGATGTTTGAATATGTGTAAAGTTGTAAATATTGAAAACTTAACATCTGTTTGACATTTCCCCAGACATTCTTGTTATATTACATCTTGTGATCTGATAACGGCGGAACATTAAGGGGGTATATGACATTCGTTACGTAACACTTAGACCACGTTATGAATTCAAGGTTGTCCTTATGTCAGAAACTTTTAATGGGCATCAAGTCACAGAACATCGCATTTAATAACAGACGCGTTGTCAAATGTACAGGCGGTTCAATCCCATAAAAGGAATACAGGTGACACTCCTCCCTCCCCCTACCCGACCCAACCCGTGCCCTACCGCCCCTCACGTCGAGGGGAAAACACGATCATGAATGAGGAAACGCGTAGCAATAAGAAGTCACGGAGACGAAAACCTGTAACTAATTAACCTAAACCAAACGAAAGTGTTGGTCAGGTGATCAGTTGATAATTTGTTTCCTGAACTAAGGACCACGGCAGTTTGAAAGTCAGCCTGTCCCGTTATTACAGGTAATAGGGATGAAAGCTACTCAAAGCCGCGCCGCAGTATAAGGGCACGCTTTAATTACCTTTTATACATTAAGAACGAAACGAATAATATCCAACAGCTCTCACAGTTGATAAAAATAGAAATATGATAAGTGTTGACGTTTTTATTCTACATCTATATAAAGAACTACTGTCATGTCTGTAACAAAGTGACTTCAAAATGATACTAGTTTACATTTACTCTAAGTTTGGTGAATAATTATGCTGATATTGTAAACATTAAGATTCCTCATGATTTTTTCTTCAAACAAAAAAAGTAAACGTCAAAGAGAAAATCATTGCGATGTTTGTCTTGTGTTTTTTTTTCCATTCCGTTTGTAGAGAAAAAAAATATAGATGCTCACTTAGTAAAGACATTTCCTGTTCTTGCATGATCTTGCGTAAAGGCAGGTGAATTCGTCGCCCGAAGGACTTCGTGTCCTGATGAGTAACACACAATATTTGATATATCGAATAAAATAAGTGTTACTGTCAGATCACTGACGAAATTTCTCATTACTGAGAAACACCGTCAGTCTAGAGCCCTCTAGTCGTTCATTAACACACTGTCGTTCCGTCTAATTACCATTCCGTAATATTGGGTATACAATCGTGCTTTATCGCTCATTTGTGGTGACGTTAATAAGTAACTGCACAGCAGGGTGAACGACCGTTTATCTACTTATTGCGCCTGTGATAACTGGACGTTGTCACCACATTCGTGCACTGTGTTTTGAAGTGTGTTCGTTTTTAGATCACTCAACTAGTCCTAGGCATTGATCTAGTCATGATAACATGTAAGTGACATAAAGTCCATAACGAACTGAAATCGGTTAAAATGTAAGGAGGGGTCGATAACTTCCGCTCGTCTCAAACGCTTGTTAAAGATTTTAAAAATAAAAATAATGTGTGACCATTGTAAACTAATGTTGATCATAGACTGTCCGGATGGTAACAATGGTAGCTGTAACACGTGAGTTTCTATATTGTAGGTTGCCCAGATAGCAATATAGATAGTTGTGACACGTTGTTTTGTATGTTACAGGATACCCGGATGTGCTTAGACATAGTTTTAGACTATATCTAAGTTAGTGGTAAAGTAGCACGTGATTTTCTATTTTACAGTTTGGCCGAATGGTAAAGTGATGGCTGTGACATGTGACTTTCTAAGTAACCGGTTACCCGGATGTATATATTGATGATTTTCTATGTAACAGGTTGCCCTGATGGTAAAGTGATGGCTGTGACATGTGATTTTCTAAGTAACAGATTACCCGGATGTATAAATTGATGATTGTCGAATGTGATTTTCTATTTAACAGGTTGCCCGGATGGTGAAAGCGATAATTTTGACACGTGATTTTCTATATTACAGGTTGCTCGGATGGTAATAGTGATTGCAGTGGCCTTCATTCTGTCCTGGTCTCCGCTGTACGTTGTCAGTATTGTAAGCCAGCTGCAGGGTCAAGGGAACAGTTTTCTTCTGCATAGTAACTTTCTATTTACCATGTTGATTGTTCATCTCGCAGGATTCATTAATAGTTGTGTAAATCCATTTATCTACACCGCCATGAGTAAAAAATTCCGGAAAAGTTTCAGTCGGACCCTTGGTAAAATCTTCTGCAATTATTACTGCCGGCAGAGATTATTTCTATACAGGGATAGCATCATACAGAGGCGATCTACAGCTTACACAAGCGCGTCACGTGGGTCATTCATTGACCCGGAAGCAGAACCATTACAAAGCGAATTGAGAGAGAGGGCACCCACAAAAGGGAAAGAATCACATAGCAGTAGTAGTGAGGGGGACTCCTCTTGTCGGTCACAGAGTAGACTATGTAAGGCTGCCAAAGGGAGACAACCAATGCCGCAAGAGAACGTTTGTGGAACTGAGGATGTAGGTGTTGTTGACGACTCAGACGTGTGCACTAACATATCTATGGTAAGCACCCAATGCCCAACATCTTTACAGATCATTGATCACTCTGGACACGGCAGATCAGTCACAAGCAGTCAAATAATGCCACGACATTGTCAAATTCGGAGCTTTATGGAACCCAACAAGAACGGTTTGAAGACAGAGACGTTTATCCTACGGGACATCAAAAAATCAGAGTGTGAAGCAGACGGTCACGTGCACACACTTATCATGTGTATCGGAGACGTAAACGAAGTAAACTCCAGAGAGGTCAATCAGGACGCGTGCACGTGACCTGATATATATAATACATTTATCAATGAGATGACATCACTCAAACGAGTTATTACCCTTTGACGGATGTATTTGTCGATGTGAGACTTCTTTTGTTCCGAGTCTAACTACAGAAGTCGATATCATAGTACAGATGTGCCTGAGAAAGTCAAATGCAATGCGTGGATCATTTGCAAGGATTTAGATGAATGCAGCCCGGACAAAATATCTGGTTTACAGAGAATTTCATAAACAAACGTTTCATCCACGGAAGTAAACACACTAGGGTCCGTCCGGGAATCTCAGTATGTCTAATTATTGTCAGTATGACAGAGTGAAGTAAAATTTGGGATTATTGCATTTAATTGAATATGTTTCAGCAGGCATCTTCCTGAATTTGTTTTTTTGGTTTTTTTTTCGAGTGATTTTTTTTTTTTTTTATCTTTTTTTTTTTTCTTTTTTTCCCTAGATGTATATATGTTATCAGTGTCAAAATTAAGGCATTATACCTAATTAAGGAAAGACGTAGTATACATGTAAGTTGGTGATTATACAGAAACAGGAAGAAAACAATTCTCAAGTTAAATAGCTTTGCGTTATCGGTCACCTAAAAGGGTTAAGAATCATTTCTAATGTCAATTTCCAAATTTTTATCATTACATAGGGTCAAGTGCTTGGAATAAGCAGATTTTTCACAACTACCAATAAAAGGTGTTATAAACATGTTGTTTTATTTAAAGAAAAATAATTAGTGAAAAAAGTTTCTCATAACCGGATCGTGGTAGATCGGAGTTGATGGAAGCAAAGTCGGGTATCAGTGCACATGAAGTAGTGACGTAGACTTTACTGTACTTTACCTTCCGCAGGAAGGAAAATTGCCCGTGTTAAAAATGTTGAAGTTGTTTGGTACACATCACCGAAATGTGTAAAAACAACATAAATCTACTGTATAACACTATACCAGTTGTTGACATTTTTAGAGCAAGATATGATGACTGGGTCATCACAGATAGGAATAAAATTTAATCAGATATTTTCAAGACATAAATATGATATATACCTAACCTGTGTTTATATACAAGACTGTATATTATGTACAATATCATTGTCTCCGTTATTCAATCTTACTTTTTGTAATCCCTGTCATGTCGATGTAAAGCATTATATAAACATATCGCTTTATTGTGTAAATAAAGATTTACAATGATGCTGGTTTTTGTTTTACGTTCTCAGTGTGTTTTACCGCGTTTTATTGTATTTCTTTATCTGAAATGCCGACAAAAGAGAGAAAATTATACAGTAACCTTTAAGAAAAAGAAAACAAAAACAAAAACAAAGTTCATAGTAGACGTATGCAATTAATCAGAGTTGAGAGTTGTCGTTCCTTAACAGTCACAATACTGCCCTGTAGATGGCTCAAGAACTACCGATATGTTGGGGTCAAAGTTTGACGTCGGGCAAAAAGATGACGGCTTTCCAGACAACGCTACAAACGAAATATATATTAACTGTTTTGTATGCCATTAACCAGCTTTAACAAAACATTTCTGAGTTCGGTGATAAAATGTGCACATAATATAACCAAATTACCGCCAGTTTTCACGACGTCAGAGTGTATGAACAGGTATCTCGAGAACACATCAGCAGTCAATAAGCCCAGGTACAAAACGTAAACATGACAGTTGGTGACTGTTGACTCATCATTATTGTACTGCGATATAATCCCTAAGGTTTATAGCAACATTAACTATATAATCATTTTCTTGATGAACAAAAGTTTATACTGATACAAGTAACAAAACAGAAAAAATAATGCAAATGGTTTGTTGACACAGAGACGCATTTTAAGAATCTTTACAGAGATGTTATGTAGCTGCACGCTGGGAGAGATTGGGAGGTTCTATGTAGGGTACTGCAATGAGCTATGGAAAAGAATGGGAAGTGCTATGTAGGGTACAGCAATGCACTGTGGGAGGATTGGGAGGTGCTATGTAGGATACAGCAATGCACCCTGGGAAGATTGGGAGGTGCTATGTAGGGTACAGCAATGCACTGTGGGAGGATTGGGAGGTGCTATGTAGGGTACAGCAATGCACCCTGTTAAGATTGGGAGGTTCTATGTAGGGTACAGCAATGCACCCTGGGAAGATTGGGAGGTTCTATGTAGGGTACAGCAATGCACCCTGGGAAGATTGGGAGGTTCAATGTAGGGTACAGCAATGCACCCTGGGAGGATTGGGAGGTTCTATGTAGGGTACAGCAATGCACCCTGGGAAGATTGGGAGGTTCTATGTAGGGTACAGCAATGCACTGTGGGAGGATTGGGAGGTGCTATGTAGGGTACAGCAATGCACCCTGGGAAGATTGGGAGGTGCTATGTAGGGTACAGCAATGCACTGTGGGAGGATTGGGAGGTGCTATGTAGGGTACAGCAATGCACTGTGGGAGGATTGGGAGGTGCTATGTAGGGTACAGCAATGCACTGTGGGAGGATTGGGAGGTTCTATGTAGGGTACAGCAATGCACCCTGGGAAGATTGGGAGGTGCAATGTAGGGTACAGCAATACACTGTGGGAGGATTGGGAGGTGCTATGTAGGGTACAGCAATGCACTGTGGGAGGATTGGGAGGTGCTATGTAGGGTACAGCAATGCACTGTGGGAGGATTGGGAGGTGCTATGTAGGGTACAGCAATGCACTGTGGGAGGATTGGGAGGTTCTATGTAGGGTACAGCAATGCACCCTGGGAAGATTGGGAGGTTCTATGTAGGGTACAGCAATGCACCCTGGGAGGATTGGGAGGTTCTATGTAGGGTACAGCAATGCACACTGGGAAGATTGGGAGGGAAGATGGGAGGTGCTATGTAGGGTACAGCAATGCACTGTGGGATGATTGGGAGGTGCTATGTAGGATACAGCAATGCACCCTGGGAAGATTGGGAGGTGCTATGTAGGGTACAGCAATGCACTGGGGAGGATTGGGAGGTGCTATGTAGGGTACAGCAATGCACTGTGGGAGGATTGGGAGGTGCTATGTAGGGTACAGCAATGCACCCTGGGAAGATTGGGAGGTTCTATGTAGGGTACAGCAATGCACCCTGGGAGGATTGGGAGGTTCTATGTAGGGTACAGCAATGCACCCTGGGAAGATTGGGAGGTGCAATGTAGGGTACAGCAATGCACTGTGGGAGGATTGGGAGGTGCTATGTAGGGTACAGCAATGCACTGTGGGAGGATTGGGAGGTGCTATGTAGGGTACAGCAATGCACTGTGGGAGGATTGGGAGGTGCTATGTAGGGTACAGCAATGCACTGTGGGAGGATTGGGAGGTGCTATGTAGGGTACAGCAATGCACTGTGGGAGGATTGGGAGGTGGGAGGATTGGGAGGTTCTATGTAGGGTACAGCAATGCACTGTGGGAGGATTGGGAGGTTCTATGTAGGGTACAGCAATGCACTGTGGGATGATTGGGAGGTTCTATGTAGGGTACAGCAATGCACCCTGGGAAGATTGGGAGGTGTAGGGTACAGCAATGCACCCTGGGAACAGCAATGTACAGCTGTGGGAGGATTGGGAGGTGCTATGTAGGGTACAGCAATGCACTGTGGGAGGATTGGGAGGTGCTATGTAGGGTACAGCAATGCACTGTGGGAGGATTGGGAGGTTCTATGTAGGGTACAGCAATGCACTGTGGGAGGATTGGGAGGTTCTATGTAGGGTACAGCAATGCACCCTGGGAAGATTGGGAGGTTCTATGTAGGGTACAGCAATGCACCCTGGGAAGATTGGGAGGTTCTATGTAGGGTACAGCAATGCACCCTGGGAAGATTGGGAGGTTCTATGTAGGGTACAGCAATGCACTGTGGGAGGATTGGGAGGTTCTATGTAGGGTACAGCAATGCACTGTGGGAGGATTGGGAGGTTCTATGTAGGGTACAGCAATGCACCCTGGGAAGATTGGGAGGTGCAATGTAGGGTACAGCAATGCACCCTGGGAGGATTGGGAGGTGCTATGTAGGGTACAGCAATGCACTGTGGGAGGATTGGGAGGTTCTATGTAGGGTACAGCAATGCACCCTGGGAAGATTGGGAGGTTCTATGTAGGGTACAGCAATGCACCCTGGGAAGATTGGGAGGTTCTATGTAGGGTTCAGCAATGCACCCTGGGAAGATTGGGAGGTAGCAGGTGCAATGCACCCTGGGAAGATTGGGAGGTAATGTAGGGTACAGCAATGCACCCTGGGAAGATTGGGAGGTGCAATGTAGGGTACAGCAATGCACCCTGGGAAGATTGGGAGGTGCAATGTAGGGTACAGCAATGCACCCTGGGAAGATTGGGAGGTGCAATGTAGGGTACAGCAATGCACCCTGGGAAGATTGGGAGGTGCAATGTAGGGTACAGCAATGCACCCTGGGAAGATTGGGAGGTGCAATGTAGGGTACCGCATTGCAATCTCTGCCACAGTTGTCGTCCATAAGCATTCACACTACATCTTTGTAAACGGTTCATACGCTACCAATAGTTGACCTCTCGACCAGGGTCAAAGTTTGACGTCGTTCAAATATGGCGGCATCTCTGATAGCACCAACGATGGACACAGCTGTTAAGTGTATATCATCGATCAGCGAAAAAAAAAAACAGTTACGAATTGCGCTTTTCCAGATGTCATATGCTGATATCGTAGCCAAATTGTCATAAGTTATGACTGATATCAATATATGAACATGCATCTCGAGAATACAAAATGTAATCACGACTGTTGGCGAGTGTTTACTCAAAATTATTCTTCCGCGGTATAATCCAAAACATTTATAATCATAGACATTCTCCATACGAACAAACGTTTCGTTTCAAAATAATAATACAAATAACACAATAGAAAAAAAATGATGAAACACTTTATCATTTGACATAAATGTTTTTCCAGAATCTTGAAATAACGTGAGCCATTTACAGAGGTGCTATTGGCGTACTGCAGCGCATTCTGGGAGAGATTGTGTAATGTCACAACAGACTTCTGA